CACTGTAGCACAGGTGAGGGCACTGTAGCACACGTGGGGCACTGTAGCACAGGTGAGGGCACTGTAGCACAGGTGAGGGTGCTGCAGCACAGGTGAGGGCACTGTAGCACAGGTGAGGGTGCTGTAGCACAGGTGAGGGCACTGTAGCACAGGTGAGGGCACTGTAGCACAGGTGAGGGTGCTGTAGCACAGGTGAGGGCACTGTAGCACAGGTGAGGGTGCTGTAGCACAGGTGAGGGCACTGTAGCACAGGTGAGGGCACTGTAGCACAGGTGAGGGCACTGTAGCACAGGTGAGGGCACTGTAGCACAGGTGAGGGTACTGTAGCACAGGTGAGGGCACTGTAGCACAGGTGAGGGCACTGTAGCACAGGTGAGGGCACTGTAGCACAGGTGAGGGCACTGTAGCATTACTGTAGCACGGGTGAGGGCACGGGTGATACGTGAATGGCGCCATGGTGCATGTATGCATGGAGAGGCTCCCTTGGTGGTGTGGTGTCTAGGCTCGCTGCACAGCGCATGGATGCTGTGGCTTGCGCGCAGCTCCCACACAGCAATGGCGACGAGTGGCGGCTTTGTGCCCATAGAGGAAAGAGAAGCAGATGCTTCTCATACACACCCTCTTCCATCGTTTTGAGCAGCCATGACATCCACCACCCGCATTCCCCCCCATCTCTCCCATCCACCACATCCACCCGCATTCCCCCTCATCTCTCCCATCGCTGCCCCACATGCCACCAGAAAGCTGAGTTCGCTGGATGGCAAAGGGGTGGGGGAACCGCTACAGGAGAGCATCACGCTGGGAGAGAAGACGCGCTTCCTCACGGTGAGTGCTCCATGTGTTAAGGTGACTTCTGAGTCGACTCATAAGTCAAGCGTCACCTCTTCTGAGTCGACCCAAAGGGGGTGGGGGAACCACTACAGGAGAGCATTACACTGGGAAACAAGACCTGCTTCCTCACTGTGAGTGCATCTCACAGTGAGTGTTCCATGTAATTATATCACTGTGAGCGCTCCAGGTAGTAATCTCAAGGGCCCATTACTCATGTGCATCCGTGCCCTCACCACCACTACCATGTTGCCTTCTATTGAAGTTCCAAACCTTCCTCCAAACCTTCACCCCTCCCTCCCCCCCCCCCCCTCCCAATTCTTGTGCCCAATCAGGGTGCCAAAAGATCGCCGGTCCTTTTTGTTTGTTTTTAATTTATTTACCGTAAAAAACGTTATTGTATAAACGGTCGTTCAAAACGGTTGCTGATGGTGTTTTTTGTTTGGTTAGAAAAAACGGCCGTTTTATACGGTCATATTTTCATACCATGGGGAGGGGAACACCACCCCTTTGGACCAAACTGATGGTGAAAGAGGGCAGGAGGAAGTGGAGGAGGAGGATAATTCTAGTTGTAGACACAACTATTAGCCCTTTCCTGCACGCGTCGCTTTGTGGCTGTGAATTAAAGTGTATCTGGCCATTCTTTCTTATTTTTTTAACCTTGTGCCCAATACCCCCTCCTCAAAGTCCTCTCCTCCTCTCTCTCTCCACCCACTTTCTCTGTCGAATACCATTTGTCACCAACCATCTCTTCCCTGCCCTGCAGTTGGGGGAATCGGCGCTGTGACTCGAAATTACAGACAGGCGTCTCAGGAAACACTAAAAGCGAGCGCTTTCCACCTCTCTTATCTTCCAACAACCATCTCTCCCTCCCCCGCCCTGCAGGTTGTGGGCTCGCTGCGCTTTGGACTGCATCCCAGCACGGACTCTGACGAGAGACGAGGGGAGCAAGGGGAGACTCGAGCTCCCCTACCCGCATACCAACACCGTCTCCCCTACCCTCTAACCAACACCATCCCTCCCCCGCCCTGCAGGTTGTGGGCTCGCTGCGCTTTGGACTGCATCCCAGCACAGACTCAGAAGAAAGCACAGGAGAGAAGCAAGGAGGGGAGCAAGGGGAGGAGCGTCTGGGGTTGGGGCGCGGGAGCGAGTGGAGGAGGCAGCATGCACAGCGCCTCTTAACCCCTCTGCAGCTCGCCTTTGCCGTTGAGGTGAGCCATTACCATCCCTCTCTCTATCGTCTATATCTTCCTCTCGTTCCCATACGCACAGCGGCCCGCCTCCTAACCCCTCTGCAGCTCGCCTTTACCGTTGAAGTGAGCCCTTTCCATCCCTCTCTCTATTATCTATCTCTTCCTCTTCTCTTTATCGTTTTCACAACAATTCCCATATGCACAACGGCCCAAATCCTGACTCCTGCAGCTCGCCTTTACCGCTGAAGTGAGCCCTTCTCATCGCGCTCTCTATTATCTATCTCTTCCTCTTCTCTTTATCGTTTTCACATCAATTCCCATACGCACAACGGCCCGCCTCCTAACCCCTCTGCAGCTCGCCTTTGCCGTTGAAGTGAGCCCTTTTCATGCTCCTCCCTCTCTTTCTCATAGCATACTTTCGAAAGCATGTCACAGCACATGCACACAGCGCCTCATCATAGCCCCTCTCCAGCTCGCCTTGGCCGTTGAAGTGAGCGCTCGCCATCTCTCTCACTCAGTGACCTCTTACCCACCAACTCTCTGCCTCTCCTCCATGATTTCTGCCCTTTCCATGTGCTCCCTCGCTCACTCTTCTGCTCCCCCTGCAATCCATCTTGCTCCACCTTTAACCTTCCATCCACTCAAACCTCTCTCCATCCATCCCAACCCCACCCTCTCTCCATCTCAATGCATGCAGTCTCAGCAATCCATCAAAGCAGCACAGGGCAGCTACACGTGGCACTACTCCTTCTCCCAGCCATCCTCCACGTCAGCATCATCCACGTCATCCAGCAGCTCTGACAGTGCATCCTCCTACTCGGTTCCTCCCAACATTGCTGTCATCTCGATGCAGGTACGCACTTTGCTGTGTTGTAAGAGGCGCCTCGAAATCACTGTGTATCATCCGTACTTTACATACTGTTCAGACCCCTCAACATACGTGCTGCATACAGTAATTCTCCAATATCTATTATCGATTCACCTACCGTTCGCTAACGTTGAGTTGGGCACTTCAGAAAACTACCGTCCACTGCACTCCATCTCTCCCTGCCCTTCCTTCTTCAACCTCCCACACCACATGTAGTTGATCCTTCATCCCTCATCACCCCCATGTTCTCACCACCGGCATACATGGAGGGCCCTTGAGAATGCTGTGCTGCAATGCAATGCTACTAGTTGCATTTGAGGTCTCTCAAAACCAGCTGCTATTTTTGGAAACCGATTGTGCTGAGGCTGGCCAATCTCTTTTGGCCGCGCCCCCCCTTTTGTGTCGTTCCTTTTATCACACACTCGCTTGTGCCACTGTCATATGTGCAGGAGCTCTCACCAAGCAATGTTGTCCTGAGACTAGCCCACCTGTATCAAGTGAGTCCCTCACTCACTCCCTCTCACTCATTCTCTCCTCACTCACACCTCTTCCCCACTCATGCCTCGTCCGCACTCGCACTCCTCCCTTTCTCACACCCCTGCCTCACTCGTGCCCTTCACACTCACTCACATCCCCCCCCACTCGGCCTTCCATCCACCCTGCCCTGCCGTACTGCACCGCTTCCAATCCTCTCAAAAAATCACCATCCTCGCCTCTGCATTGCACTGTGCCACATGCGCTCCACCCCCACTTACACTCTGCACACGCCCTCATACCTCCTTCGCCATTGTACTGCCCTTTTATTCCTCCTTTCCGCCAAAATTTCATTCTCAATAATACCTCCCTCGAACTCGGCAGGGCCTCCCGGTTTCAGGAGACCCAAAGTCCCACCTCCTTCACTGCCTTATGTGTGTCTGCTTCCCTGTCTCATCTGCCTCCCTGTCTCATCTGCTTCCCTGTCTCATCTGCCTCCCTGTCTCATCTGCTTCCCTGTCTCATCTGCTTCCCTGTCTCATCTGCTTCCCTGTCTCATCTGCTTCCCTGTCTCATCTGCTTCCCTGTCTCATCTGCCTCCCTGTCTCATCTGCTTCCCTGTCTCATCTGCTTCCCTGTCTCATCTGCCTCCCTGTCTCATCTGCTTCCCTGTCTCATCTGCCTCCCTGTCTCATCTGCTTCCCTGTCTCATCTGCTTCCCTGTCTCATCTGCTTCCCTGTCTCATCTGCTTCCGTGTCTCATCTGCCTCCCTGTCTCATCTGCCTCCCTGTCTCATCTGCCTCCCTGTCTCATCTGCCTCCCTGTCTCATCTGCCTCCCTGTCTCATCTGCTTCCCTGTCCCATCTGCACCTGCAGCCTGGGGAGCATGCTGCCTGGTCTCGTCCAGCTCAAGTGGACCTTCAAAGATTGTTTGCAGCAAAAAAGGTAGATAGTCTGGCCGCCCTACCTTTTCAACAGCTCTAACATGCTCTCGTTTTTACCCCTTAACAATTGCCTCTTTGTGACATGTACTGGTTACCCTACCTACGTTCTCACTTGCTCTCAAACCCTCTTTGGCACACACCTCTTCATGCACTGCTTAGTGCTTCAGCCACAGCTGCTTGCATAAATATTATTTTGTGAATGAGCTGACCAGAAAGTATACATCAATCAATTTCAGAAACCACTGGAATGCTAGCTTAGAATTTAACCCTACTATCCAGCCTCAGACTGTGTCATTGCTTTCCATCCCTTACCAAGATCACACCCATCTCATCCCCCCCATGTTACTTCCCTTACTGTCACATTCCCACCCACCCCAAGCAGATTCATGAGGTTACAGAGCTGAGTCTGATGGCCAATCAGAAACGAGCAGACATGCGACAGCCTCTTTCCTGGCGAGTGGAGGGCGAGGAGGGAGTTGAGGGAGCAGGTGATGAAAATAGGCCGGCTCAAGAATCGTTCGTTGATCCTGCTTCTCTTGTTGTGGAGTTGGGGCCTGCAGAAATTCGCACATTTTCAATCAGGCTGCAAGGTAGTACATGAGTATTTAGTCGAAAAAATCTTGTGTACCATATCAATTGAAATATCATGTTGCATTGCGCTCTACTTGCCTTCGTGCTTTCAAAGGGCCCTCTAATATTACAGAGCGTCTGCATCAAAGAACTATGGTGAATCATGTCTGTGATTGTGCTTGTTTGTACCGTATAATCAACCATCACGTTGCTTCGAAGCAAAATTATGAGAGGCGCCGCATCCATCTGTCCTTCAAACGGGGCATGTGTCACTCCTGCGAACTCGCTCTCGTTCAGATCCGCTAGAGGGCCTGAGTAAGCCTTACATGTTCAGCCTAATCAAATGAGTGCATCACAGCCTAACCTCTCAATCCTCACAGTGGCCCCGCTTCCGCCATATTCCCTTCCAGCACGCTCCTCTATTTCTTCCCTATCCGCTGAGGAGCGGGATGAGTTGTGCCAACAGCTAAGAATAAATTGTAGAATACGTTATGTGTGTCAATAGTAATAAGTCGATGTAGTATAATGGTCAGTATCTCAGCCTGTCACGCGGAAGATCCGGTTTCGATCCCCGGCATCGGCGCTGCTGCTTTTTCTATGTCACACCATGTTTTTATTCTACTTGTTTTTTGTTTGCATCAATCATTCTACACCGCAGCACCCGCAGCTGTTAATAACGGAAGAAGACATTGCACGCAGGCTGGTTGGTCTTTTTCTCGATCCAAAAAGCTCACGCCAGCACGCCAAGCAGCATCGAGCCTTTCGTCCAGCCACGTTTGAACTCCAATCACCAAAACAGCTCGAGCAGGCGCACTCACAATGGATCCTTGCATGCGTCAGTGCCTCCAGCAGCCTTGGGCCCGCCTCTGGCTCCTAGATTCTGGTCACACTGCGTTTGTTGAAACAGCAAGCCACGTGTCGTTTGTCTCAGCGCATAGTTTTCTGCTCCCTTCCGCGGTTTCATCTCCCTCCGTTTGTTCCATCAACGTCGTCCCTCAGTCGCTCGTCGTCCCTCCGGTTACGATCGATGTACCGAACGTCGCGAGTCCTTTGTGGGACTTGTGTAATGGTTTTTTCAGCTCGCCGGTTCCGTTGACCATGCAACCACCTTATCGCCTTCCCTGAACTTCTTTCGCCGTACCTTGTAACCAGATTACTGCGAGGTTCCTTGATAATGGACCGATCAATCACCCCATCGACCCACTTCCTGATGAAGTATCCTCTTCGGATCTCGAGGCTCATTCTATATCAGCACGAATTTAACCCACCATTACCCCACTTGCGTTAAAAACTCTGATAGTTCAGGGTTGATAGTTTTTACATTCTGCACGGCCACTACTCAAGCAGATCACGCACGGCAAATCAACTGAAGGAGGTACTGAGTGATGTTTTATCTAGAGGCACTGAAGGGGATGCTGTATGTACGATTGGTCGTACATTCTTTCCGCGATTGGCTGGAACTTGTAATACTATGTCAAGCGACAGTTAGAAGCTGCCAGTGAAACACGACAACTACGCAATCAAATTCAGCATCAGACTTGCCTATGTGCTCATTTTCTCCCCCGCTCCTCGTTGTGCGTGCAGCTTGAAGCAGCCATGGCATGGAGCAATTACGATTTGAATGCTTTCGAGGGGAAAGTGAAGCACTGTCTGCAGATCAGGAATCAGCCAGATAATGGTCAGTGGACGGACGAGGAGAAATCTAAGTGAGTGGGGTGAAAGCGGTTGCTCATCAACCTGGAGCCCGAGTGTTGTTCAATCTAAGTACTTTCTTTTCTACCTCATTGTTCAGGCAAAGTGTCTCATAAGCTGCAAAACATCAATTTTACAAGTCATTTTGCTTCTTCAGTGATGTTTTTTAACCATTGTTACTTTGAGTGAGCACTTCATTACCAAATTATTCACCCTTTTTGTTTCTATCCGTCCATGCTTCTCTTCTCAACAGAGTTAACTCACCTGCTGGAAGAAGCGCTGCACAAGCTGCGGGGTCAGGAGATTCAAGTTCTGGTTTTGCACGAAAAATTGAATGCCATGCATGCAGCAAATTTTGATTTGGTCACACGGATGAGGTGGTTTGAGCTCATGGAAGCTAGACTGAGAGAGCATGCTCACCTGGTGAGTAGGGTAAGCGAGTATGAGGTTAGGCTGGAAGAGTACGAGAGTGGAATCTGAAAGTATGAGAAGCTACAGAGCAGGGTTAGAGAGAATGTATGACGGTAGGGTGAAAGAGTACAAGAGAGAAACGGAGAGTAGGTTCAAGATGTTGAGCAACTGGAAAGCAGGGTCAGGGAGTACGAGAGTGTAAATAGTAGATTTAGAGAGTATGAGAAACTGGAGAGTAGGGCTAGTGAGCATGATAAACCAGAGAGAATGGTTAAGTATGAAAACCTGGAGAATAGGGTTAGAGAGTATATAAAACTGGAGAGTAGGGTTTGAGAAGGTATGAGATACTGGATGCAAAGGCGAAGGGAGGACATTGAGAATCTGGCAGCGAGAACAAGGGAAGTAAGACACCTGGAAGCAAGGGTAACATTTTGTGTTTGAGCAGGGAGTACGGGGGTCACACTTTGTGGTGGCGAGACTTCGAGAGGAGATCGTGTGTCTGGAGAAGAAGGTTGAAGAAGCTGGGCCGCTGGAGAAGTTGGCGAAGGACTTGAGGGAAGAGCTCGATGAGGTAGGGTGGGAAAATTGTTTGTATGACTTTGCAGACATGACATGCATGTGTGGGTGCTGGGAGCATGCACAGCTTGTTGCATGTTTATATAGTTGTTGTGATCTCATCAATTGTCCTGGAGCATGAGACTTTGATCTTTTTTTTCTTTTCTTTTTTCAATCTTTGCAGGTGACGCGGCAGCGCAACGGGCTGCGGCAGCAGCTGAGGAATACACAGGAGCACAGAGGGAGACTGAGTCAACAAATCATAGAAGCTCAAGATATTTCCCTTCAGGCAAGTGATAAATTGCACCTCTCCAACTCTCCTGCCCCCATCTCCACCAGAACAGTTGGCGATTCCGTTCCATGCTGTGTTGCCATTCTTTGCAGTTATGCTCAGGTGGTCTTTTCAGCTGCATTAAAAAGTGACATGGCTGCTGAAGGAGGCGGGGTTGGGGGTGGGGAGGGGGAGGGGGGGAGAGGTGTTAGCAACGTGTGTTATATTGAGGAAACATATTTATGACTTGTTTGCTTCATGTGCCCCTCAGGTTCTGCGTGAATGCGTGAGAAAAATCGACAGAGTTCCAGCACAAGGAGTGCAGCAGTTGGTGCGAGCAATAAATGATCATATTCAGCCTGTGTTGGAGAAAGAAGGGGAGGATATAATAGAAGTCACTCCAGAGCCCAAGATATGTGAGATTGTGCGGCTTCTGATCAAGATCATTAGGACACTGCTGTGCTTGCTGCTCTGCCCAAGTTGGCCAGACTGCCTGTGCCATTGCCAGACTAGATAGAGAACTTTCCCATGGCATTGGAGGGAGTCCTTGGTTGAGAATCCGTGACAGCATATTGGTAGTGTACATTATGATTAATAATAATCTTGTGTTATTTGATTGCAATTCTCATAAGCTGCATGCAACGGCCAGACCCATCATATCGATCTAGGATACACTCTTTATGTTGGGGTAACAAATGCATGGTGAAATAGTCTTGTAGGAAGAACAGGAAGCCCACGACCTGAATTACAACACTGAGGCTCCAGAACCTCTGGTTACCGAATGCTTGTCCGCAAAACCGAAGAAGTTGTTGGGTAGCACAAGTTCGGGTGCAGGTGATTGCAGCACCCACACACGAGGGAACTTGGGGCTGTGGGTATGTATACCTTTGAAATTGCAATTCAGGGTGTGTGAGCGCTGGCAACTGCACAGGGGAAAAGCGAGCGAGTGGGGGGAAAAGGGGTTGAGCGAAGGGGGAAAGAGGGTAAGCAGGGGGGAACGAGGGGCGGGAACAGGGGGTAAGAGAGTGAGCAGGGGGGGGGGAGGGGGGAAGAGAGGTGAACAAGGGGGTTACGAGAGTGAGGCGGAGGGAGGAGCGGACAGGACAGAGGGAGGAGAGGACAAGAAACAGGGAGGAGAGAACAGGACACAGGGAGGAGAGAACATGACACAGGGAGGAGGGAACAGGACACAAGGAGGAGAGGAGAGGACACTGAGAGGAGAAGACAGGACACAGGGAGGAGAGAACATGACACAGGGAGGAGGGAACAGGACACAAGGAGGAGAGGAGAGGACACTGAGAGGAGAAGACAGGACACAGGGAGGAGAGAACATGACACAGGGAGGAGGGAACAGGACACAGGGAGGAGAGAACAGGACACAAGGAGGAGAGAACAGGACACAAGGAGGAGAGGAGAGGACACTGAGAGGAGAAGACAGGACACAGGGAGGAGAGAACAGGACACAGGGAGGAGAGAACAGGACACAAGAGGGAGAGAACAGGACACAGGGAGGAGAGGAGAGGACACTGAGAGGAGAAGACAGGACACAGGGAGGAGAGAACATGACACAGGGAGGAGAGAACAGGACACAAGGAGGAGAGAACAGGACAAAGTGAGGAGAGGACAGGACACAGGGAGGAGAGAACAGGACACAGGGAGGAGAGAACAGGACACAGGGAGGAGAGGACGGGACACAGGGAGGAGAGAACAGGACACAGGGAGGGGAGAACAGGACACAGGGAGGCGCGAACAGGGTACAAGTTACCTGGCACTGAGGAGAGAGGGTTCACCAAAGGGGGTAAAACAAAGAGCGGTGGGAAGAGGGGTTACAGGAATGGGAAGAGCGATGTGCGAATTGGTACGACGGGGTGGGTGAAAAGTGAAAGGGCGGTTTTGTCGGGAGGAGAGGAGAGAGGGGCGTTGGGAGGATGAGTCGAGGGGGGACTGCGGGAGATATAAAATGGAGGCGAGGGAGGGAGGGAGAACAGACGACGCCGAAGGGGGGAGGAAGGGGGAAGGAAAAAGGAGGAGGGGAAAGGGGGTGAGAATGAGGAAATAAACCCCTGAGTAACTCTCGCTCTCTGTCACTGTAGTAATTTCAGGTTAAGTGTACGAAAACAGCGCGGAATCGCCACTGAGAGTTACCCGAGACTGCGCGCGCCAATAAAAGAACGTGAATAATATGTACAGTGAGCTGAATACTGGCAAGAGAATTTCCGGGCTGTTGGCAGGGAAGGGATTGCGTTTTTGGGGCAGTGATGGAAATTCCGTGATCTTTCAAACATGGATTCCGACCTCTTCTCGAACGACTGGAGTGCGATGCGCTGCTGGTCAACACTACGATCGCAAAGCTTCAAACAGAGAAACGCACTATCGAGACACTCGAACTTAAAAATCTCCTCTACACATTGGAATTCAGTTCCCATCCGCAGGAACACTCTATTACTATTCGCCATGATAGCACGACTTGAAAAAAGGGGGATCCTAATCACTAAGGGTCTCTGATCTGTCCCGTAACGAAAATAGGTGATCGACAGAGTAAACTAAGAACCGCATAATCTACTCGTCTCTCTCCTGCGGCGTATGCCTGCTCTCGCTGGTTCCAATAATCCAATCATTACAAATTTCCTTCTAGGTCGCCACACTCCAAAAAAATATGCAGCGTGTTCCGTAACTGCGACCGATCCGTTCGCCCTGTCGCGAAATCCAAACTTGTCGTGAGGAGTGTTCGTGCGAGCAAACGGTTTCGCCAAAGCACGAACCTCGGGGTGACTTTCTTGCGAACTGTTTTTTTTCGTGCTGTGAACTGTACCTTTCAGGGTCTGGTTCCACTATGAAGTTCATTTGGTGGACCTCGAAATCAACAACAGCTTGCGGTACGAGCTCAAACCAGAACAATGTGCAAAGAATCATTGTCCAAATTCAGACAGCACCTATAGCGGGCGCAGGTCAGCAACCCTAGAAGTCATCAGGCACCGCTGTCGACGCTGATCAACGTGTCAGCTGCCATGCGTTGCGCCTTAGGGCCAATCGCCCCACGGCGCGCCTTCCACCAACCTCGCACAGCCTTGCGCCATTCTCTGGGGCCAAGAGCTGGCGGCTTTTGGGCCGTAGATTTAGGTTCGAGGGGGTACGAAGACCGAAACAATCAAGCGAGTCGACGAGCGGATAAGATTCGCTTTTTAGTACGAAACATACTCCCTGCCCTTCGGACCAGGGGAATCGCTTTCCGCGATTATTTCCCCCCCTCGAGAATCTATTCCCTCGATCGTTCCTGATTCTCCCTCTTTCTGTACTCAGATAACGTGAGTTTGTCGTGCTGCTGTTACAATTCTTCGCAAAATCGAGTTGTCGTGCTCCCAGACCTCGTAACCAGATCTGCCACATCTTCCTACAGTTCTGGGCCCATTTGCGAGGATCACTTGAACGCTATCATTCCAAGGACGTGCCTGCTTCTCATTCTAGAGCAGCAAGTCCTTTTCACCATAGGTACGTCGATGTTGGAAATTATAATAAACAGCAGTACGTAACTTGTATGCGTTTCCTCTAGAGTCTACTCAACATAGTTACAGCATAATCTCTTATTGCTTTCATTCTCTCCTCCTCCTCTTCCTCCTTCTCATCCTCCTCCTCCTCCTGCTCTTCCTCCTCTGTTCCTCTCGCGCTCCTCATTGGGACTACAGCTTGAAGCAGCCATGGCAGCAGGCAACGACGAATTGGTGACTCTTGAGGTGAAACTGAAGAACTGCCAGCGGAGCAGGAATCAGGCAGACGATGGTGAGTAGACGGTCGAGGGGAAAGATGGGTGGAGGAGTGGGATGAAAGCAATTGTTCTTTATCCTGGAATTTGCTGAACTAAGGCTAGGAATTTTGTTTGTTTCTCTCTTTTTTTTCTCTTCCTTTTACTTCGGAGGGCACGTTGTGTACTCATTCTATTGTCCACTTTGTGGCACTTATGTGCGTTTAATTCTGAAATACTTGCTTCAGATCTTTCATTGGTGCCAGAGGTGGTTTAAGTGCGAATCTTGTCCAGGAGCATATGTTTCGGTTACAGCAGGAAATGCTGGAAATTCGACTCCATGCAGTTTATGAGATAACCTTTGGTATTATCGTGCATCATTTTCGTGCTGTTTTTTTACCCATTTATATCACGATAAACCTTAACTTCACCGAAGTAATCAACCACTCTGGTTATCTCTCCACGCCTCCCACAACAGAGTTAACTCAGGTTGTGGAACAAGCCCTGCTCGAGCTGCGTAGCCAGTCAACTGAAGTTGGGTTGCTGCGTGAGACGTTGGCTGCCCTGCGTGCAGTGAATATCCAATTGGTCACACGGATGAAGGGGCTTGAGCTCATTGAAACTAGGCTGAGAGAGCATGAGCAACTGGAGAGTAGGGTTAGAGAGTTTGAGAAGCTGGAGGAGATTAGGTTCAAAGAGTATGAGAAACTGGAGATTAGGGTCAGGGATTATGAGAATCTGGAGATTAGGGTTAGGGAGTATGAGAAAACGGAGGAGAGGGTTAGGGAGTATGAGAAAATGGAGGAGAGGGTTAGGGAGTATGAGAAAATGGAGAAGAGGGTTAGGGAGTATGAGAAAATGGAGAAGAGGGTTAGGGAGTATGAGGAAATGGAGAAGAGGGTTAGGGAGTATGAGAAAATGGAGGAGAGTAGGGTCAAAGAGTACGAGAAACTGGACATGAGGGTCAGGGATTATGAGAAACTAGAGAAGAGGGTCACGGAGTATGAGAAACTGGAGAGTAGGTTCCGGGAGTATGAGAAACTTGAGAGTAGGTGTCGACGACAGCATGAGAAACTGGAGGCATCGAGGAAAGATTCGGACCACTGGGAAGCGAAAATGAGGATGTGGAAGTATAAAGCTGAGAAACTCGATGCAGCGGCGAACGAATCAGCCTGCTTGAAAGGGAGAGTGGGAGAGTTACAGGCTTTGGTGGCGAGACTTAAGCAGGAGATAAGGTATCTGGAGGAAAGGATTCGGGAACCTGGGCCTTCGGAGATGCTGGTCAGGAATCTGAAGAAAGACCTGGAGGAGGTACAGTGGGGGGATCAATGCGAGCATGTGCACAAGCTCATACACGCGTGTGAGAATGCAAATGTGTGCGCACTTGCATGTGCGAGATACACTTACGGAGCATCCGCATATGGGGCCATGCTTGCAGCACGCCCCTGTTGCATGATTTTTTTTTTTCTCTCTTTGAAAAAACCGTCTTTGTTATTTTGGTTTTTCGTTCTTGAACAAGCAACCATCCATGAGGAATTGTTTTGATGTTTTTTTGGCAGATGACGCAGCAGCGGAGCAGGTATTGCCAGCAGCTGAGGAACACCCAGGAGCACAGGGGGAGGCTGCAGCAACAAATGATGGAAGCCCGAGACATGACTCTTCAGGCAAGTGAAAAAATACCACTATCCAACTCTCCCCTAACCTCACTTCAGACTCTCCTTGCCAGCACCATGGTTTGTGATTCTATGCTGAGTTGCATTTGTCTGCAACAATGCAAGTTAGTGTGTTAACTGCATTCACTATACTTTTCTGTGCTCCCCGGGTTCTGCATGGCTGCTGTTAAGGGAGAAGGAGGGGAGGGCAGGGGGTGTTAGAGGAGGTATTAAAGTGCCTATGGCTGGACATCAATATCCATGTCTCATTGTTTTCCTGCATACCCCGCAGGTGCTGCGCGGCTGCATTGCAGAGCTCAACCAAGTGCCAGCAGTGGGGGTACCGCAGCTGGTGAGCGCAATCAAAGCTCACATTCAGCCAGAAGTGGAGCAGGAAGGGGAGGACTTGGTGGTAGTCGACTCAGACCCCAATATAAAGGAAAATATGAAACTAGTAGTTGAGACCATCAGGACGCTGCTTGCTGCAGCTCCTCGGATGGCGAGTCTGCATCTGCCCGACTGACTGATTGCCTCAGACTGCGACGAGCCTTTCTTGTGTCTTGGTGGTAGTCAACGACGGTAATCACTAGATATTGTCATGGATAATCAGGGATCAATTCTTATGTGTTACTACCATGCTCTTCTAAATGTGCGCGTTATATGATTATATTGTCGGGGCATGCAGGGATGTATGCCAGATCCATCTGCCTCCACTGTCACATCCATTTAGCATCACGCATTTCTCTGGTTCTCTGGGGAATAGGCAATGTGAACATTCTTTACTGACAACCTAAACGAGTAAAATCAGGAATGTACACACGAGTCAAAGCGAGTGGGCTATACTGCAGCACAGCTTTCCGAGCTCACCCAGCCCCGAGAACATCACCACCAGAGCTAGCGCAACATGAACAAGCTGAAATCAGATCAGCAGCATGAGTTCACACTGGCAAATTCCTCCGCCAACCAAATTCACACACTTCGGATGTCTTTGTACCAATACTCTGCGTCGCCAGGAACAACTCCCTAGAAAGTTTAGATAGAACGCCGCTGCTTATCAGTCAGCGACCAGCTTCGGGTGTAGATCGGCGCGTCACCTGCCTGTCATGCGTTGCGCCTTGGGGACAGTTGTCTCACGACGCACCTTCCGCCGTTCCTGCGAAGCCTTGCGCCACGCAATGGGCGCAAGGGCTGGCGGCTTTTGGGCCCTAGATTCTGGGTTAGAGTGTGATCATGTGCGAGCCGATACTCCTTGCAGCGGGTACCAGGCGAAGATCTCTGTAGCGAACGGCGGGTGCCGACATTTCGCTTACATGGCGAAACTTCAATTCGCTCTTTTTCAGATTGGCAGTCCCGCTTCCCCCGCCTAGCGTCTCGAGATTCCCGTTCCTTGATTGTTCACATTTTCCCTCCGCTTTCGGTCAACCTAGATGACGTCATGAGTTCGTCGTGCTTCTGTTACACCTCTTTGGAAAACCGTGAAATAGGCTCAACGACCTTTCGAACCGAATCTGTCACAGTTTTATGCGTGCGTCACCTAAGCGCTTTCGTCTAGCAAGGTCGCGCCTTCGTCTTATTCCCGTCCGACCGATCCTTTTCAGCATAGGTACGTCGTTTTGAGAATAAGTCATGCATTCAAATTACTCGCATAAGACAAAGCATCGTCTCATGTTTGTACCTTCAGATATGGTCAAACAGTTCCTATAGTGCTCACCGAAGCTCTCTGCTAACACTATGCTGCATAGCGGTAAACGCACATCAGCACAAAAATAACCTGCGTTTGAATTCTCCTCCTCCTCCTCCTCCTCCTCCTCCTCCTCCTCCTCCTCCTCCTCCTCTTCCTTCTCTCCGTCACTCACCCATTCTGCCTCGCTCCCATTCAAACACTTTTCTTCTCGTGACTGTAGCTTGAAACAGCGATGGCAGAAAGCAGCAAAGGCTTGGCCGTTATGGAGGATATAGCGATGAAGCGTCAGCAGAGCAGGAAGCGGGAAGATGATGGTGAGTGAGGCGAATGATGGGTAGAGGGGTGGTGTGAAAGTGCTGCTCCTTCATTCTGTGAACAAGTGTGACCAGAGATCAAGTGATGAATTGATTAGTTATCAGTTATGTAGGGACTAAGCAGATGAAGGTGAGCCAGCAGAAGAGAGGGGTATGGGAACACGTTGGATGGTTTGAGAGTGCGAGTGTGAAGAAAAGTACGTAGAGGATGGACGGATGGAAGTGTCAAGAAAAAGAAAACAAACAACACCAAAAAACAAATGGTGGCAACAATCTTGTCCTACTCAGCCCTTCATGCCTTCGTTTCTGCTTCTCTCGCTTTCCATCAACTTCTGCCTTCCTCTCTTGTAAGATTTCCCCGAATGAGTACATTGGCAGTGGCGCCAAAAAACGGATATAGGTTTCCTATCATTTCTGCTTCTCCATCCTCACCCGTTCCATTCAGATTTCAATCACTTGCTTGATGAGTTCCGGCTGCAACTAAGCAACCAGTCTTCTGAAATCAAACTGCTGCATGAAACGGTGCTTGCTTTGCGAGAAGAGAAAGGGAAGTTGGAGGCACGGGTTGAAGGGTTTGTAATGATGGAAGTCAAACTCAAGGAGCGAGAGAAAGAGGTTGAGTTGCTACAGGCAAGAGCAGAAGAGGCTGAGAAGTCAAAGGAGAGGGTTATAGAATGTGAGCGCTTACTGGCGGATGGGGCGAACGAAATAGCAACGTTGAAAGCCAAAGTGCAGGAGCATGCAGAGATTTCTCAGCGGCACAAGGCAGAAATGGACGGCTACAAGGCGAGGGTGAAATCGTATCAGAAGGAGGTTGAGAAGCTGCAAGAGGAGGCAAGAGTGGCCGAGAAATTTGAGATGCTTGTGACGGAGGAATTGCCGCTGGAAATGGAGAGGGCGTTAAGCAGAGCAAGGGAGAGGGGGCGGGAGGAGCGGGAGGAGGGAGAGCGGGAGGCGGAGAGGAATGTGGTAGACTTGACGGAATTGGATGAGGTAAGACCGGAGGAGGGGGATAACGGGATGGTGGCAGTCGCGGGTATGTGTGAGACCATGCATGTGTGTATCTGTGTGGGTGTGCTCGTGTGCGCTCGTTTGTGAGCATGGATACACATCTTCTGTCCATCTGTTTGACACACAAACGCTATTCTCGAGCACTCCCCACCCTCCCTATCCGTTTTGTAGAGGGAAATTCCTGGTTTGCCGCCCTTTCTCTCCCCGAACAAGCAAGACTGGCTGGTTTAGGTACTCTCTTTCATGCTGGGACGCTCTTGGCAGATTACGGAGCAGCGCAACGGGCTGCGACAGCAGCTGAGGAACACTCAGGAGCACAAGGCGAGGCTGCAGCAGGAACTGATGGAAGCCGGAGATAACGCCATGAAGGTGAGCAGATAGTGACCCTTTCTATCTTCATGAACTCGCTAAGATGTCATTAACCCTGTTTTGAACAAAGTGTGTCTGCTTTGAAAAATGTGTGTCTAGTTTGAACATTGTGTTTCTATTTTGATCTATGTCTGCTTCGAAAAATGTGTGTCTATTTTGAACAAGGTCTGTCTGCTGTGGAATACCATCTCCATGCCTTGTTGGATGCCTTGTTGCATGCCTTTACCCACAGGCATTACGTGATTACGTGGGAGCTCTTAGCAAAGTACGTGTAAATGGAGTATCTCACCTAGTAAGCGCCATAAAGAGACACATCCAGCCGGTGGTGGAGCAGGAGGAGGAGGATCTGGTGGAAGTTAACCCTGATCCCAAGCTAGTGTTGAGCACGAGGCTGCTGGTCAGGACAATCAACACGCTGCTTGCTGCAGCTACCAAGGCCTGAGGCCCATGCAAAGCATCCTTGGCATGGGGATGTTTTCTGGTTGATGCAGCGGAAAACGTGGTGTAAGGTATTTTCTTGTTCGAGGCATGCAAACCTTTGATCTAGCCTGTGATGAGCAGGGCATGGTCATGGTGCTACTAGCCAAGCCACTCAACAAGCACTGCCAGCTGTAGTTGCCAGCATTGTAACCTCCTCCGATGTCTTCCTTCAATGCCCCTTGTGAAGCATGAAATACTTGCTGGGCACCTATTCCATTAGGATGTACTGTCCACTACTGGAATGTGTAATTGTGCTGGTATGGTTGGTTGCATACAGCCCAGGACTTGCAAAAGTCGAAAAACATTCAGACAAGAAGGGCAAATGTTATGAGTTGTAAAGGAGAGTGCGCGGAATAACGAATAACGAAGATGTGACTCAATGAACTGACAATACAATGAAGGCACGCGCTAATATAGTGGGTCAACCTAGCTAGGCGGGAACCTCGGGAACACGAGGTTGGGTGCAGGTTGGGCAAAGGAAAGGCCGAAGGCGACGCGAGGTTGCTTTGGCAGCGAGCAAAGTGGCCGAACGTGCACTTCCGAAAGTTGGGGTTGTACGCGGTTGAGTAAACCCCTGTAAGGAAAAGGGGTTTTCCTTACACTACCCCCCCCCTTTAAGAAAGGTGGTCAATATCCGCAGCTCGCTTGCGGGCGAGGTAATCACCAAGAAGCGGAGAAGCTTCAAGCGAGGCGGATGGCACCCAAGTGTCGTCCTCACTGGTGCGGTCAGTCCAGCGGATTAGAAAATCCACGTGGCGTCCAGAAGCGTCGAGCCGAACACGATGCGCCAAAATCTTGGACGGGTCAAGTGTCGGTTCTGGGACAGGTCGAGCTGTCGGGGCGGCGTTCTGGCGCGCGATGTCTGTCGTGGCAGGCACGAACTTGCGAAGGAGGCTGACATGGAAGGCGTCATGTATACGCCAATCGTCGGGTAGCAGCAGCTTCGCGGTGACAGGAGTCACCATCTTGATGATCTTGAAAGGCCCACAAAATCGTGGCCGTAGTTTTGATGGGCCGGGCAGGTGCAGGTTCTTCGTGTCAAGTAGCACTAGTTGCCCAGCTGCCAAGACGAGTTCCCGTCGTAGAAGGTCGGTGTATTTACGGGAAGTGGTATTCGCCTTGCGAATTGCGTCCGCAGCCTTTTCGCGAACTTCCTGAAGTTCCGTCACAAATGTTTGTGACCTCGGGACCGGGTTGTCTAGTGTAGTCGTCGTAGGCACCGTCGGGTCCATCCCGTAATTTAGGAAAAACGGGGAGTGATTAGTCGTGCTGGACGGGGCGTTGTTGAACGCGAACTCCAGCATGGCGAGCGAGTTTTCCCAGCGAGCGGGGTCGGGGCAGTTTGTCCTGATCAGCTGCTCCATCGTCTGATTGGTTCGCTCAGTCTGGCCGTCCGTTTGCGGGTGGTATGCCGATGAGAATTGTAGCTTCGTGCCGTACTGCGCCCACGTCTCCTTCCAGAATTTCGATGTGAACTTTGGGTCCCTGTCGCTGATGATCGCTGCGGGGATTCCGTGCAGTCGCACGACGGTCGAGATGAAGAGGCGCGCAGTTTCTTCGGCTGTGATTGTTGTACGACACGGTGCGAAGTGCGCCATTTTCGTGAGGCGATCGACGACGACGAGAACAGCGTCGTTGCCGGATGGCCCAGCTGGCATCCCTGTGACGAAGTCCATCGTCACCTGTTGCCACGGTCGTTCGGGTGGCTCGAGGGGTTGCAGCAGTCCAGCTGGCCGCTGACGTGTCGATTTCATGGCTTGGCACACCCTGCATGAGGACACATATCGCTGCACGTCGTTAGCAGAATCAGGCCAATAATATTGACGGTGCAACAGTTTCTGGGTCTTATCAACCCCGAAATGTCCGGAGAGGTTGGAATCGTGGACCTCCTGAATGAGGAGTTCACGCAGCAGTCGGTAAGTGGGAGCCCAAATCCGGTCAGTTCCGGCTTTTAGGTAGTAATTCCCCTTCTGCGTCGTTGCCTGCTGGTGATTTCGAGTCGTGAAGAACGGGTCCGAAGTTTTTTTTTTTTTTTTTTTTTTTTTTTTTTTTTTTGGTGAGCATAAGTATACTACACGCATACATACACTCGCAGTCGTAACTGATTCTAGGAGGGCATGCAAGTGGTTACAGGTAACCAGGCCCCCCCTTCCTCCTTACGGGGGCAGGAAGGCTACACCGCCATCTTCCCATATGGCCTTGAAGCCCGCTCTCCACGTCATCGAGGCTTCGTTCTCGTACAGCCTGTTCAAAGCCGTTGCCTCATCAGCATTCAGGTGACTCCACTCCCCTGTCCTCTTCGAACCACCCCTGCCAGCCAACCGTTTCCGCACTCTGCTGTATATCTTCACGTGTCTCGTAAAACTAACCGCCATGCGCCTCAGTGCTCTAGTAAGCTGAAAACGACTGCCACGGAACACCGCATTGCACCTCTCCAACCACACTTGCTGTGCTGTAATTGAAATGATTGCAGCTTCCGGAAAACCGGTCGACGTGCCACTCTTCTGGAACAGCATGTCCCCGAGTGACTTCATTTCCCTGCCTGGGTTTATGCACTGTACCGCACCCTTCATCACCTCGACCACTTGCTGGATCGCCGGGCAGCTGAATAAACAGTGGTCCTGCGACTCCACCCCTCCACAGTGCACGCATTTCGCCCTCTCCCCCAAGAAAGGGAGCCTCTCCCCCACTTGCAGGTTATTGCTGTGCAACCTCAGCACCACCTCCCTCGCTCTGCATGGGGTTGCCAAAGAGTCCCGGACCGTGATGGCCTTCCCCCAATCGATTTTCTTCCCCGTCTCCTCCTCCCACCGCAGCTGCTGCTTGGGCTGAGACATCAAGGGTTTCATCGCCTTCCTCAGCTGTTTCAGCTCAGCCCGTTCTCCCTTTTCACAGATCGGGGAGTGTAGCAGCCTTGTCCTTGGGGTTCCTAGCGGGCCACGAACTCTCCCGTCAATGACCGCCATGGGCGTAGCTCGTAGGAAATCCACCGTCCCCACCTCAGCGTATGTCACCAACGACACGAAACCCTTTTTATCCACTTCCACCCTCCTTCCGTATAACACGCCGTCTTCCACGTGCTCCAGCTGATAGTAAAGAAACTTTCCCGGCCGGTACGACGGCGAGCAGATAAGCGCTGTTTCCCTGAACATCTCCTCCGCCGTCAATTGATTAAGTAGCAAATTTCTCCATCCTTGGGGCGCCGCTTCCCATGCCTTGAGAGCCCATTTCCTCTGCGCCTCACCTCCCAGCCCCCGTTCCAGGACCGCCTCGCTTTTGAGACTCCTGCTACCATTTGCCCCTTTGGCCACCAGGTCCCCCAGACGGACGCCCTTCAGACAGTGTGAGCCCGCCTGATTCCCGAAGGGCGAGTTGCCCCTGAAGAAAATCTTGCGGTTAAAAAGCAGCTGCTCCTCCTCCGCGTCCCATCTGTGTGCAGGGTCACCCATGGTCACAATTTTTGATTCCCACAACGCCTTCACCGCTGCCTTCCACCTCGTGCCGCCGCCCAGCCAATGTTTTAGCACTGAGGGGTGGGCGTAGATCGTAGCCAAGCCGAGCGGGAAACCAGCCGCCCTTTCCCATAGCCAGTTCCGTAGTGGCACCTGTTCCGCCAGAACTTTTCCAAGATTTTGTATCACAATGTTGTCGATCCGCTGCTTCAGGTCAATCACTCCCAGTCCCCCTTCTTTTCGCCCCCTGCACGACAGCTCGTAACTCCAGAGGGTGAAATGCCTGTCAAGGAGCGCTCTTCCACCCGAGATGAAGTTGTGGCACAGCCTTTTCACCTTGGTCCATATATCGTGCGGCGGAGCGTAAATCTGTGCTTGGAACAACAAAATCGGCATCGCGTAACTGTTGATGATTGTGACTCGTGCCGACGTCTTGAGGTGCTTTGATTCCCAGCAGCTCAGCACCGCGCTGACTTTTTCAAATGCCTTGTCCCATGCAGGTCCCGGCGACCCGCCAGAGGTGATCCAGATTCCGAGTAAACGCTCCGACTTGCCCTTGTCAGCCCATGTGAAACGCGACTCTATCGGCTGCAGTCTCCTCCTGTTCTTCCCCAGCGGCATCAGTGTCGTTTTGCTGTTGTTCACCCTCAGCCCCGAAATCTCAGCAAATTCGTCGAGCAGCCTACCCGCTGTAGCCACTTGTTCCTTCCCTCTCAGGACAAGAGTTGTATCATCGGCGTACCCAATATAGGCTAACTCCCCCTTCACCCCTTGCTTCCGAACTCCCAGATTTCTCCTCCCTATCTCCTGGCAGAGCGGCTCCACCGCACAAAGGAAGAGATACGGGGCGAGTGGACAGCCTTGCCGTACTCCCTTGTCCATCGCCACCCGATCTCCTACCCAGCCGTTCAACAGCATCCTGGTTGCTGCACCATCGTGCAAACCTCTCACCCATCTTACAAACTTCTCCGGAAAACCCATGTTGCACAGCGTCGTGAACAGGTAATCACGTGACACGGAATCGTAGGCTTTCTGAAAGTCCACCAGCAGCAGTAGCCAATCTTCATCCTCCGCCTCCGCTGCGTCAATTACATCTGCTACCAGCGAGACCGCGTCAGCAAGGCTTCTCCCCGGAAGAAAACCAAACTGCTTGTCCGAGATCACCCGTGGTAAGACCTGCTTGATTCTGTTCGCCATCACTTTCACCAGCAGTTTGTAGAAAAAGCTCAGTAAGGTGATCGGCCTGTAATTGCCCAAATCACATCTATCTCCTTTTTTGTGCAGCAGGATGGTAACCGCAGTCGTGAAAGCCTCCGAGAGTACCCCCGCCGACTCAAAGCCTTTAACCTCCTTCATCACCGCCGGGCCGAGCAACTCCCAATTCTGCTCAAAAAACTCCTTCGGTAGACCGTCCTGCCCCGGAGCCTTCCCCGCTGGTAAGCCTTTGAGCGCTGCCTTCACCTCTTGCTCCGACCACTCCGCGTCAAGTTGCAGTTGATCCTTCTCCTGCAGTTTCCTTTCCTCGTCTATTGGCCACGGCACTATGTTATGATTTGACGGTGACTCCGCATATGCTTCTCTGAAGTGCTCTGAAGCCGCCTGTAACACCTCCTTCGCCCCTTTTCTCTGTACCCCCTTGAAAACTACCTCCAGAAACTCCGTCTTTGCCTTTCTTGATTTGACCAGCCCCGACAGGAAACCCGAAGGGGTCTCGCTCGCCAATTCCATCAGCAACCCCGTCATGACCTGCAGCCGCTCCTTGTTGCTGTCCTGATAAACCTTGAGTGCTGCTTCGGCTTTGATCAGCTCCTCATATAGGGCTTGCGATCTGGCGTCCGCCATCACTTTCCACCGCAGCTCTTCCACTTTTTGCTCCAGATGTAACAAAGTCGCTCTCACCCTCTTCCTTTCTTCTGCTACGTGAGCCCGCATGCATGCTCGCAGGTTCACCACAAGCCTCTCCAGGCTTTGGTCCGAGCTGCTCCCGTGCGTCGACACCACTGCTGAGATGATGTTCTTGACCCCTTCACCCCCGGGCCGAGGCGTCTGGAGCCTCCACAAGCCAGGGCCATGGTCATCCGCTGCCGCCGCCTTGAGCGTCACCTTCACCGCAAACCAGTGGTCGGTCAGGCCATAGGGTACCATACTATGCTTCACCTCCGCTACACACCCTAGCAGGGAATGAGAAACTAACGCCCTATCAATCCGTGTACTCGTCCTTGCAGATCTAGAGAAGAAAGTATACTCTTTGCGCGTCGGGTGAAGACTCCGGAAAGCATCCTGCAGATCCCATCTCGAGCAAATCTGCAGAAGCTTCTGGTTCTCCGCCGGGGTCCCCAACTTCGAGGACTTATCCAGCTCCGGGTCCGCTACAATATTCAAGTCCCCTATGAGGATGGTATAAGGAGAGGCGCTCAGGCCTTGCACGAATGGTGACAGCTCATCCCGGAAGAAAGCCCCCCTAGCGGTTGCCTGCGCCGGTAGATACGCCGCTACTATTCTGCACTTCAGATCCCGCCAAGATATCATCAGGCTCAGGAGCCGACTAGACGCATGTTTACTGACTTCTGTAAACCGCATCCCTGGCAGGAAACCCAAGACCGCCACCCCTCCTACTCTCTGCGATGGGCCAACCACCACCTGAGCCTCCGTTCTCACTTGCGACCAGAAATTGTGGTCGGCTGGGACACGCGTATCGGTGAGTACCACAATGCTCGCTGCTTTCCTGATCCATTTTGCACATCTTTCCTGCTTCCCGCTGCTACCGAGCCCGTTGATGTTGAGCTCGAGAATTGTAAGGTTGTTGTGCTTATTCATTAATCCACTCCTTTGAGCCCCTCAGCATCCACGGGCGATTGAGTTTTATTGCGACGATACAACTGGCTACAGCGAAAGAGAACATGGCACCGACTACACAGCCTGCTCCCAACAACCATCTTGCTGCCTCCTCCCTTCTCTTCATGAGACACGTGTCCAGGCCACTGATTATCATGCTGCCGGCTTGACTATGAAATCCTTCTTGAAAGCAGCCATTTTCTGAGAGTGCTTGCTGGCGCGAGTTGCCGCTCCGTCTGTTCGCAGACCCCCCTTGTGCTTGGCAGATGCAACGTGAGCCGCTGCCTGCTCGAACCGGTTCCCCTGCGCCTTCTCGCACATGGTCTGCACACACACCCACTCCTCCCGCATCCCTCCTGTGGAGGTGAGTATAACTGCGGGGTCCTTCAGGATACGTTTCAGGAGGGGGATGGCTTTCAGGGATGCAGCTGCGAGGAGAGGTAAGGAAAAAACCGTCAGTATAAGGTACGAGAAGTGGATCAAGCGGTAAGAATTGCAAAGGGAGAGGACGCGGAGCACTTCGGCGAGTACTATTCATGTCATGAACCTTTTTGACCGGCAGGTTCCAGTTGGTGAAATTCTCCTGCCTTGACGAGACATAGTGATCGTGATAACGTGACATATGCGGACCGCTGCAGAAATCGCAAGTGAGTGAGGGGTAATGGAGCAGGTAGCGCTTCTTCGTCGCCGATTCTTCCACAAAATACCTCCAGCGATACTCCTCGTCAGCATGAGGAACAACCAGACCGCGAATACGGTCAGTGTCGAGTCCAGAAACCGGATCCAGCGTACGGTGAAAGCCAAAACCACTGGCGAAGGCGCTCTTGCCGCGCTTGACCAGCTTTGACACAACCAGTAGATGGCGAATAAGCTCCGCAGTGATCTCGGCCGGCACACCCTTGACCATCACCTCCTGTGCCAGCTGGTTCAGAACGCGTTCACAGAGGAAGCGCGCGTCTTCAGGAAACTGCCAGGTAAGGTCGATGATGTCCCCGTTCACACATTCGTGTTTGATGACCTGGTTCCATACGAAGTTCGCATCCCTGACGTGATTAAACGTGACTTGCAGCCGACCATAGCGCGTGCCGGAGAAATAAGCCGGCGCGAGATCCTGGTAGGTCGTTGTCTGCAGCACATCCGGAGTTAACTGGTCCTTCCAGTCATCCAACAAAGCAGCAATCGTCACAGCAGCTCTCTTGACTTCCACTCTCCTGAGGATCGGCACCAGCAAGGTTAGTGAGAAACGTTTCAGGGCCAAAGCACTAGAAAGCGAGGCAGGCTCCAGGTGTTCATCCGAGTCATCGCTCAAATACCCATCGTCTTCATCCTCAGGGACCGGACCAGGCAGATCTTCCTCTTCCTCATCCATATTGACCGTAACAGTAGGTTCATCTTCCACCGGTACGTCATCCTGATTTCCAGAACAAGCCTCGCCAGCAGCGACACCATCAACAGGGTCAGAAGCATTGTCCGCCTTGTTTTGTAGATCCAGCAGATCTTCAAAAGGGCCGATCACATCCGGCGTCGTAGGTGAAGTAGACCGACTCTTGTCAGCAGCGTCCAGCACAGGTACGTCAGGTACGTTCGTCTCCGTCCCATTTCCGTGGACACCATCCGCCGTCTTCTTGCCAGACTTGTTGCTACGCGGCTTCGCCATTGTGCGATGATGAGAAAGGCTTGACAGCCAGAGAGAGGCTGTAGAACAAGCTGATCTGAGCACCAATAACTCCCTTGACTTATATCTCCTGTGCTTAAAAGTGAAGCGTTGCAGGTCCAGGCCCGAGGAGACAAGTGCGTCCTTAGGGGTTGGCCCACAACCTCGGGGAAAGTTGACCTTGGGAAAGGCATAGTCCTTTGGGAAGATAACATTGGTGTCAACGCGAACTGATGAAAGTAACAATAGTAATGGCGCGCGGTAGAATCCATGGGACAGCTTGTAACCTTTATAATAGCCCAGATCTTTAAACTTGCATGATGTATAGTGAAGTAAAGATGATAGCCTGGAACTCAAGGAAATGGTGGTTAGGTTCCTGTAATGAACACTTAAAGAGCACCATTGTAAAGAGCTTGTAACCGCGCATCGTCTGGTAACTTCAATGTTGACATCAGGCAAGAAATTGATGGACATTGGTCGAGTTAAAGCTCTCCGCCATGGCCATGGCTCCATTGTCATTGTCATTGTCATTGTTCGCAAGGCTATGTAGGCACTGCAGCAAAACTAGATGTGGTGTGAAGGTCGGTGAAAACAGAGGTGTGGAGTGGAGCCCACCTGTTCAACGTAGGAGTGGCACCACTTTGCACCATAGTAACATTCCACTGTTTGTAGTGTAGCCGTGGGTGAATAGTCCCGTAAATAGCGGGTTCGAATGGGTGATGAGTACTGCAGCGGATTGAACTGTCGGTCGGGTAAGGTCGTCGGCGATGTTATTCGCCCCTTTCTTGTACGTGATGCGGTAGGTGAAGTGGCTCTCCATGTAGTCCAGCCACCGAATTTGTCGCGGGTTGAGGTTGGGCTGAGCTCGCAGGTACTGTAAGGACTTGTGGTCCGTGCGAACAGTGACGTCGGCGCCCACCAAGTAGCAGCGCCACCGTTTGAACGCGTGTATTATGGCGAGCATCTCCTTGTCATGTATCGGGTAGTTGCGCTCGACCGACTGCAACTTACGTGACTCGTAGGCGATCGGCTGCAGTCCGTTCCCGAAATCCTGGAGGAGTACAGCTCCGATGGCGAAATCTGAGGCGTCGGTGACGACTTCGAACGGCTTCGATGGGTCGGCGAAAGACCGGAGGGGAAACGAGAAAATTCTTCAACTTCTGAAAAGCCGCCTCAGCTTCCTCCCCCCACACAAAATTCCTGTCCTTGTGCAGCAGGTCCGTCAGCGGGCCGGTTATCCCCGCCATATTCGGGATAAACCGCCTGACGTAATTCACGAACCCCAGGAAACTCTGAAGTTCTGTGACGTTAGTCGGGGACTTCCACTCTTGAATTGTCTTGATTTTTGCCGGGTCGATTTTGATGCCGTCGTGGGAGATGACGTGTCCCAAAAACTCCAACTCCTGCTTAAAGAGCTCGCACTTAGAACCCTTGGTGATGAGGCGGTTCTCCTGCAACCGCTTAAATACCGCGTCGAGGTCTCGGAGGTGTTGTTCCCTTGTCCTGCTAAAAACCAGAATATCATCCAAGTAGACGATCACACACTTGTCGAGAAATTCCCGGAAAACCCTGTTCATGGTCAGTTGAAATGTCGAAGGCGCGTTTGTGAGGCCGAACGGCATCACTGTGAACTCGTAGCTTCCGTAGCGGGTGCGAAACGCGGTCTTGTGACAATCGTTGGCGAGGACCCGAATTTGGTGGTAACCGCCACGCAAGTCGATTTTCGAGAGTTAGCAAGATTTGATGGTCACCCGGTTGAGCGCGCGATAGTCGATACACATGCGAAGCCCGCCATCCATTTTCGGCGTGAAAAGGATCGGGGCTGCGAAGGGAGATGTACTAGGTCGAATAAACCCCTTCTCCAACAGGCCTTCAATTTGTCTTCGCAGCTCCTCGAGTTCCGGTTGGGTCAACCGCCACTGTGTACGAACAGTCGGCTGCGCGCCAGGCTCCAGCTGTATTTTGTGGTCCTCGGGGCGTTCGGGTGGCAGTCCAGGTGGCAGATCGTCGGGGAAGATGTCCGGGTACTGTCGAATCAGCTCCGCTAAATCAGGTGGTACAGCTGCGCACAGCTTCTCGATGTCCTTTCCGTCGGTGTGGGTTGCCAACTCGCGCAAACATACGGCGAACAGCTGCGCGCCTCGATTGAAGTGGCGAGCAATAGTGATGGCTTTGACGCACGGGGCTTGGATGTAGTCAGGTGTCCATGCAGGAAGCTTAATTAGCCCCTCGTGCTTGCTGATGCTGCACGATCCCGTTGTCCAGTCGATGACGGGGTTGTGCCGTCGCAGCCAATCACGTCCCAGTAGCACGTCGCAGCCATCCAGCATCGTCGCAAGAAACTTCATGCTGAAGCCGAAATCGTCGCCGCATTCGATCCGCACCGTCCGTGTTTCTTCCAAAATCGCCAGAGGCGTCCCATCCACGAGGCGAGCGTCGATTTCGGGCAGACACCTGTCAAGTTGCAGCTTGCATTTTTTTGCTGTCGCCAAGTTGAAGAGGCTATGGCTGGCCCCTCCGTCGACGAACATTTTCAAGAATTTTTTTAACACTTTGCCAACGACCAGCACAGGGTGATCCACATGGTTATCCCCGTTATTTGGCCGAGTGCGATCGATTGCATGAATCGGAACCACAACTCGGTGGGGATGATGGTGTTCGGGCGACAGAGCACAGTCAGTAAGGGGCCCGTCTGTTACTGACTCTTCCCATTTCCCGGCTCTTTCCCGTCGTTCCTCTTCGCCGGCGTTCTCTCGGGGCAGTCTGCATATTTGTGACCCGGCTTTCCGCACTTATAACACAACACTGTATAGGGGCGGTCTGGTGCATGGACTCCGTTGATCGTGGCCCGTTGGGTCTGGCCGCGAAAGCGATTTCCCTCCCGGGAACTCGACCTCGCGTACTGCATCAGCGCGTCCGTGGATTCTGCCAACCGTGCTGCTTCCAAAAACGATGTCGAGCGACATCGGCACACCTCATACTGTATCTCGTTTTTAAGGCCGCAGACGTACTTATCTAACCGCTCCGCTTCCGACATGTCGTCCACTTGGTCGGCGAGGGCCATGAACGTCGCTGTGTAGTCTTGGACAGATGCCAACTGCGACCAGGCACGCAGCTTCATGCGAGCTTGTTCCGAGCCGGATATGTGCTCGAAGCGATCTTGTAAGGCTGCGCCCCACTCCTTCCACGTGCGTATCTTGGCCACGCCGAATATCGGTGCTGCCACTTGATAAACCGACGTTGAAGTCCCGTCTCCCGCATGTGTCACACCTGTCGGGGTCCCCGTGTCCAAGGTACGTCGCCACCACTCCAGAGCCGCTCCTCGGAGAAGCGATACCGCGTAATTAATACGCGTGGCGTCATCGTCAACGCGCACTGCAGTAAAGAAGACCTCCACGCTGAATAACCACCCCTTCACTGCAGTCGTCTTGTCGCTAGGAATGAACGGGGGCAGGCTCTGTCAAGACTTAAGACTAGGGGAATGATGAGATTAGGTCAAGGTTGGGGTACAAGATTAGAGTGTCGAGGAAGTTTCTGTACCCCCTAGTGCTAACCCCCATACAGCCTAGATAACCTAAACATGCATATATAATTTGACACACCCCCATAGGCGAAATGGGGGATAGCCAGATCAAGCAACGGTCACAAGACCAGTCAAGAGAAGAAACAAAACACAGCTCAGGGTGGATCACAACGTCACCACGCAATCTGAGCACAAGCAAAAGGCCACAAGGCCAGTTCACATGCAGAGATATATACGTAACAACAACAGCACAGTGATCTCTACCTACCAGAGCAAGCATGCAGGTAGATATATAGATCACAGTACAAACAAAGCCTACAGTAAGTGAGGAAACGTGGGCACAAGGCCTAACAAAGTACAGAAACGCTGATGATCACCAGGCGGAAGTGCCTTGGTGAATATATCAGCAGTGTTGGCCCGAGTGGCCACGTAAGCAAGACGAAGCTGACCACGCTGCTGTAGCTCTCGAGCAAGGAAGTAACGCAGAGCGATGTGCTTCGTTCTGTGCTCCAGTCTGTGCTCCTGACACAAGGCAATGGCGGCCTTGTTCTCGACGTACAGCACTGGAGGAGAACGAGGCCTCTCTCCCAAGTCGGTCAGCAGGTAGGTGAGCCAGCGTAACTCCTGTGCAGCCATGGCTGTGGCGTAGATCTCAGCCTCACAACTGGAGCTGAGAACTGAAGACGAGCGTGTAGAACGCCAAGAAACCGAGCCAGAGCCAAGGCTGAAGGTGTAACCCTGTGACGACCGCTGCGTAGCCTGGTCGTCAACCCAAGAAGCGTCTGAGTGCCCAGTGAGGACAACGTCGCTCCGTCCTCCAAGCACGAGCCCCATGCCCGATGTACTGCACAAGTAGCGTAGTACCCTCTTAGCAGCATCCATGTGCACCTTTCGGTGCCGACCAGGAGCCACGTAGCGAGCCAGAAGGCCAAGAGGGTACGCAAGGTCAGGACGAGTGCAGGTCATCAGGTACATGAGGCAGCCCACTAGCTCTGGGTAAGGACCACTCGGCTCTACGGACTCGTCCGAAGGTGGAGCTGAGAGCAAGTGACCTGTAGCCAGAGGAGTGGGCTCTGCCGAGGACCAGGTGAAGCCGAAGCGCTGAAGGACCTGCTGCACCATGTGTGACTGAGTCAGTGTGATGGTGCGGCATGCTCTGTCCCGGGTGATCCGCAAGCCAAGATAGCTTGTCAGCTCACCCAGGTCTGTGCACGTGTGTCTCTTCTGCAGCTCCGACTTTGCCAGGGCGAGAGCCTCAGTGTCAGCAGTGGCAAAGACCAAGTCGTCGACGTACACTAGGATGTAGAACGGCGGCAGTGAGTGTCGGTGCGCAGAAACAGCGACGGGTCAGCACTCGACGGAGAAAACCCAAGAGCCGCAAGTGTCGTCCTCAGTGTGTCGTGCCACTCACGCGGCGCCTGGCGGAGACCGTAGACCGGCCGCCGGAGGCTCCACTGGGTACCAGGAGGGAACGACCCAG